GGGGCAAATCCAAAAAAAGGACATAAGAAAGTGATCCCTTGTGGAAAGTATGAAAAGGGCCAGGAGGGACATGACACTGATTTTCTTTCTGCATTACTGCGGACTTTCGAATAATTCATCTTGCTGTTTATATTCAAGCTTTCTTTTGACATAATTCTTGGTATGGGCCTCTCTTATGAATTTATTTTTCTTTCAGGCTTAGCTTGCATGACAGTTATGTTTATTACGACATTTCTCATGGCGCTTGTCATAATTTTTGTGTGGCAAAGAAGTGTTGCACTTGCCACTTCCTTTCTCCTTTTATTCTGGCTCATCGAAGGCGTCTACCTGTCTTCCGCATTCATCAAGATTCCACAGGGAGGATGGGTCTCCCTTGTGCTCTCGTTTGTCTTCTTGGCTATCATGTTTGTCTGGCACTATGGAACTCGCAAGAAGTACAATTTTGACCTGCACAATAAAGTTCCATTGAAATGGCTCCTTGGCTTGGGCCCCAGCCTTGGTATCGTTCGTGTGCCAGGGATAGGGCTGATATACTCTGAATTGGCAACAGGAGTCCCATCTATCTTCTCTCACTTTGTTACGAATCTCCCTGCATTTCACAGTGTGCTGGTGTTTGTATGTGTCAAATCTGTTCCAGTTCCATTTGTCTCACCTGAGGAGCGCTTCCTCATTGGTCGCATTTGCCCAAGACCCTATCGCATGTACCGTTGCATTGTCAGATATGGTTACAAGGACATACAGCGAGATGATGGGAATTTTGAGGACCTTCTCATCCAGAGTATAGCAGAGTTCATCCAAATGGAAGCAGTCGAGCCACAACTGTCAAGCTCTGAGAGTCCATCATTTGATGGGAGGATGGCAGTTATAAGCACGAGAAGTGTACAGTCAGGCTCAACGTTACTTGTCTCAGAGGAGGATTTTGGTATTAGTAATTCCATTCAAAGCAGCAAATCTTTAACTCTCCAGAGTCTAAGATCTGCTTACGATGATGAGAACCCACAGATGAGGAGGCGCCGAGTAAGGTTTCGCTTGCCGGAAAACCCAGGCATGGATCAAGCTGTTAGGGATGAGCTTTCAGATTTAATTCAGGCAAAAGAGGCAGGGGTCGCATATATTATGGGGCACTCTTACGTGAAGGCGAGGAGATCATCTTCTTTCTTGAAGAAGCTTGTTATTGACATTGGATATTCATTTCTGCGCAAAAATTGTAGGGGCCCCGCTGTGGCACTTAATATTCCTCACATTAGTCTCATTGAAGTTGGCATGATATACTACGTCTAGGGTCTAGAGGGAGGATGGTTGGCCGTGGACGAGTTTTTTATTTGTCACACCTCTCCTGTTGTTGCCTGCTGAATGTTTCGTGCGGTAGTCTTATGGCTAATATTGTGATCCTCTGATTTGTTGTGTAAGGCCTATTTAAATATTTTCGTATTCAGCACATTGAGTAGTTGTATGTATATAGCATTATATGCGGGCTTTGATGACTTAGCATGCTGGAAATACACCCTGGATATGAGCAGGCACATATGTTTAAGCTCACTCATTTTTATTGCCACAAAAGTAAAATAAAGTAGTCTTTGTTTGTATTTATTTAGTTTTTCCATTTCCATAATTTCCTTGTAGTCTAATTAAATTTTCCAACTCAAGAATCACAAGGGATGAAGGAATTTGTTGCAGAGATTGTAAGCATAGGTCGTATCCAACACAGAAATTTAGTACCACTTTTAGGATATTGCAGGCGAAAAGGAGAGTTGCTTTTGGTTTATGAATACATGCCTAATACGTATTCGACCAACCAAAATTTACCCTCAATTGGAACCAAAGGTTCAGAGTCATTAGAGGCGTAGCATAAGGACTATTTTTCCTACACAAAGAATGTGACCATGTAGTGGTTCATCGAGACATTAAGGCTATTGGATGGTGAACTAAATGGAAGGTTCAGGAGACTTTGGCCTCGCGAGGCTAATATGGTCATGGAACCGATCCTCACTCTACTCGTGTCGTTGGTACTCTTGGTGGTTACCTTGCACCAGAGCATACTAGAAGAGGCAAGGCAACACCTAGTAGTGATGTATTTTCCTTTGGAGCCTTTCTACTTGAAGTTGCCTGTGGTAGGAGGCCGATAGAGCCAAGACAAGACAATGATGATCTAATTTTGGTTGATTGCATGTGTCTCGTGCTGGAATAGGGGCAAATATTCTTGAGGCTGTTGATCTAAACATAGGCATAGATTTTGTTCAAGGGCAAGTGGAGTTGGTCTTAAAGTTAGGCTTGTTATGCTCTCATTCAGAGCCTTCGTATAGGCCAACCACACAACAAATCCTGTTGTGGCCTTACCAGAGTAATCAGCACTTGGCGTTTCATCAGCTGGCCTAACATTTGACCATCACGGTGGTTTTGATGATTTTGTCATGTCATATCCATCGTCTTTGGATAATGCACACTCCCGCCGTCTGACTGAAGGCCGATGATTCATGATGAGTTGGATAGAATTTCTTGGAGGAATATTGATGTATTGAGCCTGGTAAATATAATCTAGGATTTTGTACTTCTGATAAATCTATATATATCTATATAAAAGAGGGCCAAAAAGTGTTCACATGGCACATCTCTTTGGCCAGCTTTTATATTTATCTTTTTCTTGGTTTTTTTACTTTTATCCTTCATTATTTTTATTCTTCCTTGTAAATAATGATTAATTAATGTGTCTATTAAGTAAATCTATGAGAGACTCATGCCTCTTCAATTATCCGTTTGCTTAAAACTCCCTCTCCCCTGTTAAATTATCCATTTGCTTTCCCTAAAGCCAAAAGAACCTTGCTTTCTCTTCTTCCCATAAATCTTCTTAATTACGCCCATTTTTTTTTCTTTTTCTTTCTTATACACAATTTCACACACACTCAACATTTACAGCAACAGTACCTTACAATACATATACAACGACACACATCATCAATGAAAGAAGGATCCAAGGAGCAGAGCAAGAATTAGTAAAGGCTGTTTGTTGAATTAA